ATGTACATTATCTGATAAATTTATTCCAACATATTTTGGATCAATCACTATTTATCCTATCAGTATTTAAATTACAGTATCATGGAGCAATAAAGATAAAGATTAAGATAATAATAATTCTTTATTCACTTCAATATTATCTGGAATTGGATTTTAATTAGTCTCTTTTGGTGAAGCTGAAATTGTATTAAAAGGTATTCAAATGGATGACGTTTTTGATAGCATACATGGATTATGCATCAAATTAACCTAAAGATACCTTACTGATATATATTGATAATTACCAGCTATATAGTTTAGCTCAATTCAACTAAATTATTAAAAAACTTCGTATCAGGCATGCAAGATTTGATTAAACGACCTATTGAAGGATTTACTTAAGGACCATTGGAAGGTGGTATGGGTGTTATAATTGGAACAACTTCATTAGTAAGTCACTCTGCCTTTGGAGTTAAGAATGTTGTAGGCACTATTTCTAGTTTATTATCTAAAGTCACCATGAATAAAACTTATCAATAATAAAGAGAGATCCAAAATTAAAAATAAGCTAGAAATGTTGGTTCTGGTATATAAAAAGGATCTGAGTTTTTTGTTAAGGGAGTAGCTGATGGTATAGCTGGATTCTTTAGTAAACTATTTCAGGGTGTTTAATAAGATGGAGCCTCTGGATTTTTGAAGGGATTATGGTAAGGGACTTTAGGATTAATTATTAAACCTCCTACAATATTTTTAGATGCCGTTTCAAAAACATCAGAGGGTGTTAAAAATGAATTATCGTCATATGAATAACCTAATAATAATAGAATAAGATATATGAGACCTTTTTATTAAAGTGATGGAGATTATAAAGAATACAATTAGATTGAAGCAGAATGTTATGAGGTTATTAAAGGAATTAAAAAAGGAAATTGTGAGAATCATAGATTGCTCAGAGTTGATGCTATTAGATATAACGAACATTTTGGATTAATTTTGACTGAGACTAGTAAATTTTTTATGATTTGAATCAGCATTCCAAACTTTGGTCTATTTTGTAAGAAGATGTTGAAAATATAAATTTTAGTGGAAATTTTATATAATTGAAAAACAAGAAATCTAAAAGAGCATTCTAAGTATTATTATATATATATAATAAAGCTAACTCAATTACATAATTAGCCATGACTTTAAGGAATTAAAGT